TCTGTTTTGTCCATCATCACCGTTTTATTTCCCTTGTCCGCATTTGTAATTACTATAGAGTCCTTATGTTGTTTTATAAACCGTTTTGTGTCTTCAAATATTCTCAGTATGAATTTTTCTTTTTTATTGGTTTTGAATTGATTTTTGAATGCGTTAATGCTGGTGGCTATATCAAATTCACCACCGAGTTAGAAGAGGGCAACAAATTACCCTTCTTGGATTTGGAAATTCAAAAAAAAGAACATAACATATGCACATAAGCCACATAGCACGCTAAACAAAATATTCACCAAAACAAAAGACAAAATAAACAAACAACAACAATATAATGTGGTCTATCAAATCCAATGCAAAGGTAAAGTCAACGAAAACTGTAACAAAGTATACATAGGCACGACTAAACGACAGATATACGTACAAAACGATACGAATGGACCCAACACAAAAACTGCTGAGAAAAACCAACGCGATAGTAAATGACATATACAAACAGAAAAACATTGACAATTATCAAAAGCACAAATTGACATGCAATGCAGCTACAGCACCTAGACTATATGGACTTCCGAAAATACACAAGGAAAATACACCCCTTAGACCTATTTCTGCTTCAACCAATGTGCCCTGTTACCACCTTTCGAAGTTCATTGAAAAAACTCTTAAAAAAATTGTCTCAGACCAATACAATATACACAACTCGTTCCAGCTAAAAGAAAATCTAAGAACCATGACGCTTGAAGAAGACGAAGTTCTCATTTCATTTGATGTGGTATCTTATTCACCAACATACCGGTGCAAATGGCAATCCGAACGATAATGCAACAATGGACTCTATTAGAAAGATATACCACTCTCACAAGAAAGCAGTTCTTAACGATGTTAGAATTCTGTCTATGCGACAACAACTATTTTCTATATGACGGAGTATATTACCAACAAATACACGGAATGCCGATGGGAAACCCGTTATCGCCCACTGTAGCTGACATTGTTTTAGATAAAATACTTGACGACAGCATCGCTGAATTGAAATCTAAGGACATATGTATCAAATACATCAATAAGTATGTAGATGATATATTCGCGATCGTAAAAAGAAATGACGTAGAAGATATTTTAAAAGTGTTGAATTCCCAACACAATAAAATCAAATTCACCACCGAGTTAGAAGAGGGCAACAAATTACCCTTCTTGGATTTGGAAATTCACCACTCAAATAAGAAAATAATAAAAAATTGGTACTCAAAATTAATAGCATCTTCGAGAATGATAAATTACCCCTCGAACCATTCATGGGCACAAAAGAAAAATACGGCTACTAACCTGATCAACAAAATCTACTCCTTAAGTGACCAGGAGTTCAGAAAAAGTAACAAACAGAAAATAATAAACATACTGCACAAGAACGGATACCCAAATAAGACTACTGAGATGCTAATAGCAACAACAATTAACAAATTAAAATCAGCGCAAACAAACAATAAGTCTACCAGCAGAAGTGAAAACAGAAGATTTACAGGAGTCACATACATACAAGGCCTAACCGACAGCAAAACACTGCACAGAAATATTCAAAACAAGAACATAACATATGCACATAAGCCACATAGCACGCTAAACAAAATATTCACCAAAACAAAAGACAAAATAAACAAACAACAACAACATAATGTGGTCTATCAAATCCAATGCAAAGGTAAAGTCAACGAAAACTGTAACAAAGTATACATAGGCACGACTAAACGAGCGCTTGGAGTCAGAATTAGTGAACACTAACCAGACGCGAAAAATAGGAAGACAACAACAGCACTTGCACAGCACTTGACGAATAGCGAACACATGGCAGATTTTGAGAACATCACAATTTTGGACGTGGAAAGACGAGAAAAAACAAGATTAACTTTGGAGAGTCTGCGAATACAGGAGAGGATAAGGGACGCGATGAACTTTAAAGAGGACGTTGACAATATAAACTGTGCGTACCGGACGGCAATACAAAGTAACAACTCAGATGGGCGAAGACAGTGACGTCAAAAAAAGAAAAGTGTTTAGTTAAATGTTTTGCGTTTATTGTAATGTAAATAGTTACACTAATTTAATATGTAAGTGCAATTGTGATAAAAAAGATATGTATATGTATATGTATGTATAATTTCCAGTCATATGTAACTATGTCTAATTGTTGTGTGTATTATGTTTTGTTTTTTTGCAATAAATCAGACTCCCTGATGAAGGCGTGAAGTACGCCGAAACGCGTAGGAGAAAGAGGAAACGCAGTTTGCCTTTTTAATATACCGGCCGGAAAGCTCTACCAATGACCAAATTACAAAAATTAATTAACTTAGAATAGAATTTTTACTTAAAAAACCAATAGTATTAGTAAAAAATACTCATAAAGAGACAAAGTAAATCAGAAGGACTTATGTAATTACGCTAGGAATGCACGGTAATGCTAAGGAAAATTATAAAAGTTATTTTCACAAAAAATTTTCGTGATGAAATTTTGTATTATCTTTTTTGTAGCGTGGTACCTATACGTACCCGAATCGCTAATTAGTTTTTTAAGCCGAAATCCACACAAGCCTGTGTTATTTTTGATTATGTACTTGGATGTAAAATAACACATTTTCTAAAATGTTTTAAGCAGGTTTGTGCTCTAATACAATGAACATACTTCTTTTAAGCCATCTTACAAAATCTTTCATCAATATAAAAAATTACCATACACAAATATTGCCACTGATAAAACTTTTACATATCTGGAAAACAAAATGAAATATGGTAGGCAATAATTTTCACCTGTGCAGACGCGCCTTAGCTAGTATTTCAGTGTTGTAAAGGGTAAAATATTAATCATTAACGCTAAAAGGCGTTTACACTGTTCAACTTTCACAGGCGGTTAGCTTAATCAAAAGATTGCATCATTTAACTGAAAGCTGAACAATGTAAACGCCTTTTAAATATAAAGATTGTGTACGATTAGGAAATAATAGTATTCTGCACGATATTTTTTTTTAATTTCATCGCTGCTATAAAACTTGAAAAGGAGGACAAGGAGGACATTTTTGCTCAAAAGGAGGACAGAGGAGGCAAAATTTTTGAGGAGGACAAATCACGCTTGAGGAGGACAATCCTCCTCATAGGAGGACTGGTGGTCAGCTTACTTTTATCGATGTACATTTATAATATTTTGTAATAAAAAAATAAATACGAAAAATAAAACGGGAACGAAAAGTTTTATAATAATTCAACAAAAATCTACCAAAATGAGAAAAGTTTACATTTTTACCAACCCAAATTATTATAGCTGAGCGCACTTGTGCACAAGGGTATTATAACTTTGTTCACATAACGGTTGTTTGTAACAGGCAAAACAAATCAAGATAGATATAGACAAATGTATACATAAATGATCAGAATGAAAGGAGAATCGATAAAGCGGTGACTGTCTGACCGTACGTCTGTGCACACTATAACTCGAGTAAAAATTGAGATATCTTGGTATGGATGGTATTGAAAATGGGCAAAATCTGACAAAAACCACGCCTACCTCCCATATAACGGTAATTTTCAGAAATACGAAAACTGCGATATTTTAGTAACTACTGTAGATTATTCACCCAAAATTGATATTTACAATAATTTTTAGGCCAAAAATAAGAATATTATAAACTTTTGGAAAATGGGCGTAGCCACGCCCACTTATGGTTAAATGTGTATATCTTGGTAGCCGCTGCACCAATTTCTTCCAAACTTGGCACAGTTGTTGACTTTGGTACAATATACCAAATGGCCGAAAATTTTCAAAATCGGGCAATAACCACGCCCACATCCCATATAACGGACATTTAGAGAAATACGAAATATTCGATAAATCAGTAAATATTAAAGCTAATTTATTCAATATTGATGCTTGCAACAATTCTTTACCAAGAAATACGTTTATGATAAAATTTTGGAAAAAGGGCGTGGCGCCGCTCACATATATATGTATCTCGGTCACCGTTGTAACAATTTGTACCAAACGCGGTATGGTTATTGTGCTTGCCACATAAAAGCAAAACGTTGAAGATTATTGAAATCGGACTAAAATAACGGCCGCTTTTCATATAACGGTAAATTTCAGAAATGCTTGAAACTTCAATATTTCGAGATTTAAGGACGCTAATTTACTCAAAATGTATACTAAAAACAATCCCTTAGAAAGAAGTAACATTGTTTGGAATTTTGGAAAATGGGCGTGATATCGCCCACATATGACTGTATAAGTTTATCTCATTAACTTTCTCTCATATTCGTCTGATATCGATTTCTCTATGTGTCAAAACCTAGATTTAAATCCATATTAAGAAAAATAAAATTGTTAAATAAAATTAAATTGAAATATACTCTGTCTAGTCTGTAAGAAAATATACATTTTCTAGATTATTGTTAAATAAATAAATAAATAAAAAAAAATTAATAATGCCTTCGTGGCATCACGATATTTGTAGCACGGTTTGTTTTCTAAGTCACACATGAGTTTACAAATAATAGACCCACGCATAGAAAACTCATGTACGTTGAAAAAACGCGTGTATAGACGGCCGAAAATATGCATAAATAGGAACGCGACAGTTCAGCAAATTTTTGGCTATTTTTCTTTTGTTTATTTAATGTTTATTATTTTTTTATGAAAGTATATCTCGTTATCTATCAAAAACCACGTATGTCCAGACTTCAATCAATGCACAAAAGTTAAGAAAATTGGACAAACTTTCATAAAAATTGCAAACTTTTTAATTAGATTTTGATTATGCAGTTTTGTAGACCATGCAATTTCAATATAATAAAGTGCAATTTAAAAGTAGCTAGGACTTTTTTTATTTTCTCCATACAAAAATAAAATCCGTGAAAAAATTTAATTCTGGTTAACGGCCATTAGAATAAAATTAAAAAAAAATAATAATTCCTCGCTTCTTCGTTATTTCCATATAAAAAGTTGTATTTTATATTTTAAGGGGAAAAAGAGATTTTACACAACGTTTGTGGAAAGTTTCCCGGTAGTCAACTAATAGCGATTATGGGCCCCTCTGGCGCGGGCAAATCCACATTACTTGATGCACTATCAGGCTTTAAAACAACAGGTGTAGATGGTTCGATACTCCTCAATGGCCGACGACGCGACTTGCGTAAGCAAACATTTTTAATAATCATCATAAATATATCCGAAAAATTTTATAATAAAATTTATACATACATTTCGTCGTTTAAAGTACGAAACCGCGTATCAATAAAACGCAAAAACTCGTATGTCCGGTTGCCCAAATTTTATAGGAGAGTAAAACGTGTATTTTTTCAAAACGGTTCTCTCTTTTTTCTCTTATTATCTCTTCTTCTTATATCTAAGTATTGATATTTTAGTATGAATTGATAAGCGCTCGATGCCAGGAGCTTTCGATGATTAAATATCTTTTTTTGGCACAAATGTTAATTACGAAGTTTTACAGAACCATGATACGTGGCTTTGTACTTTAAACGACGATATGTATGTACATAAATGTTTTTTTAACCAGTTTTTATTTATTCGCGTTAAGAGTTATCTCGCATTCAAAAAATAATAATGATACCCTTCTTGTACTTTAGCTTCATTTCGTCGTATGTCCTGTTATATTACGCAAGATGATCGCCTACAACCATTGTTAACAGTCAATGAAAATATGCATATAGCGGCAGATTTGAAATTAGCTCCAAATGTCAGCTATGAACAAAAGGAAGGCAGGGTCAGTTGTTGCATAAAAATCTTAAATTTTTAATTTATTAATGCTTATTTGAATAGATCGAGGACATTTTGCTATTGCTGGGCTTGTACGAACATGATCAGACAATGACAATGCGACTTTCCGGTGGACAAAAAAAAAGGCTCTCTATTGCTATGGAATTGATAAATAATCCAACTGTAATGTTCCTTGATGAACCTACAACGTAAGTGAAAACCTCGTTGGGTAGTACCTATAACTTCTTGTGAAATGTTCCATCCCATATTTTTTCATAGTGGCCTCGACAGCAGTTCCTGTACAAAGGTATTGGAGCTATGCAAGAAGCTAGCACAGCAAGGAAGAACCATCATTTGTACAATACATCAGCCTACCGCCAAACTCTTCCAAATCTTCGATCAAGTATACGTACTTTCTGCGGGTAACTGTATTTACCAGGGTAGTACAGAAAGATTAGTGCCATTTCTACAAACTGTTGACTTGCCATGCCCTGTCTACCACAATCCCGCAGATTATAGTAAGTGTTTACTTAAAGTGTTCTTACATGATATTTATTTGCATCTGTAAATGTGACTTTTTCAATACATATGTAATTGCGTCTCTCTGTCAAATTCTCAGTCTTTATTTAACTATTTCAAAATACGTTCTTTGAAAACGAAATAAACTAATATCAGAAGATTCTATCTGTGTGTCAGATGAAAATAGAAACATTTCTAGTGCATCTGCTTTGTACGGAAACAAATGTAATTTGCCTTTACACGATATGTTGGCATTTTCATTTGTAAAAAGTGACATGTTCACATGCAAATACACATCGTGTAAGAACACCTTTACCATAGACGTATGTTATGTTTTTGCATGCTGTGTATACTTACTGATTCCTAAACTTTAAAGCGTGATCCCTACGATTTGCACATTTGTACATATTTGTACATTTTGGCAGAGTCACAGTGGATGTTTCCTAGAAAGAGTGAGTTCAGCTTAATAACAACTTTTCAAACTACACCACTCTGTAACTGTGAAAATGTACAAATGTAAAAATGGTGTTATCCCTGCTTCATGATTAGGAATGCTTGTTAGCTGCATTTATTTGCCGTTGGTACGGTTAATTGTTTGAGGGAGGCTGACTTCCTAAACGTCAATTGCATTGCATACCAGGGTGTCCAGATTGTTTAAAAAAAGAGCGATATTTCTGAAAAAAAAAAATCGCCAATTTTTTTTTAAAATAAAATTCATGAAATCGATTTAACAAATCTTTTATTTTAAAAATGAGATCTTGTTATAATATAGTATTTAAAAACAAAAACGAATATAATACCCTCAGAGGGTAATAATAAAAAAGACAAATCACTTATATAATAGTGATGTACAAACAATATTGGTTTCAACATATTTTGCAATAGGACTGCGCAATTATTAAATTTATTAGAACTCATATTAATTGATTAAGCGCACAATCCGCCTTTAAGAGCTCGGCGCTAAAAATTAGATAAAAACCTATAATAAGGCGAGATCAGCTATTTCCACATTTCTTCAAAGTCACCTATAGTGTCTGAATGATTTACATTCCTGTTGTTGTCATATATTGAGCTATTCAACCTTGATAATATACTGTTTGATATTGGAAACGTTTCGCAGCAGAAACTATTAGCCTTCATATAATACTTTATTCGAACTATTGAATTAAGGCTTTCCAACCTCATCCAATTTCGAATCTTAGTTTTTGTTGAATTCATTACGGAAAAAACGCTCCCAACAAAGCATGTGAGTGCGGTAAGGATAATAATATGAGTTTACATATATTTCCAAACGTTTTATTTCTTCAGAGTCGGATAGAATGGTTCTGAGAAAAGTTATTCCGTGGGAAAGCTAAAATATTTAAATATTCAGTTTCCGCTGCTTTTCTTTCCTTCAAAGTCAAATAGTGAATTGGCAGGTCCCTGAAACTCGCCATCTTGTGATTCACACACTTTTCTGGTGACAAAACCAAAACATCTTTAGAAGTATTTAATTGACTAGGTAATCGTTTCAAAAACTCTTCGATTAGGGTAATTAAACATTTTTGACAGTCTTTTAATATGCTTCTTAAGTCAGGTTTATCACGCAGTTCATTAGCGGCTTCTGTAAAATTATCGTGGAAAACTAAGTTTTGTATATTTTTATAATTGGAAAAAATTTATTTGAAGGCAAAAAATCCAAAAAGATCGCCAAATTGGCGCGAAATCGCAAAATCTGCACACTCTGTTGCATACGTACAAAGTTTAATGTTCCATAACCCCAAACTACAATTGGTTGACAATGTTTACTTTTCCAAAACGCTTTCGAAAAGTTATTGAAACGCATCGCTAGAGTAATCAGCGCATCAGAAACAAAGTTGATGGTTCGTTTGTCTTTGGTTACCATTGGTGTTTTAAATTGTTAATGGAAAATTCCGAAATGGTTATCATTGTTTTATTAAATATTCAAAATAAGCAATGAATATGGTTACAATGTTTCGCAACTCTGCATATGCAAACAGTTTAAATACCGCAGTAGAACAGTATCCAAACATTGTAATGGTACGTTTTGGAAGTCAGCCGGACTGTGTCACATGCAGTGTGTCGTTAAAAACTACCCAGCAAAATCTTTTAATTTTTTGGGAAGGACTTATTTTTGTATCAATGGAGTAATGCAATACAAGTCGCCTCAAGACAATTTTCGCTTATCTATTGCATTACATGTAATGCAAAGGCAAGAAATTTTACATTTATTCGAATACCTGCAATGACAAGCACATGTTAAAATAATGCATTCTGTAAACGAAAAGGTAAGCGGTTATCCCAAATTAAGGAACCATGGTTCGGTGCGCAGAAGTGGAAAACTTTTGACTTCCGTTCACCTGGGAGTGGCCAGAAGCGATTCTTGTGCGTACGGTTCAAATTGCAGCTCACAACGTCCGGATATTTATATCCACGTATCCTCTGGGTAGCAACCAAACACCCGCGTAAAACTTCGCGTGCGTGGCTCCCGCCACACTACAACACCGCCCAATGAAAAAGTCTAACAAGCCTCGGATCGGACCCCCTTTTTTTGATGACGACCACGGCAAACGTATAAAGGAATATGATTTGAGGGTATGCACCTGGAATATCCGGACCCTTAATGGGGTCCCGGCTGGTTGATGTCGTCGGGAAGACAAAAGCTGACATCACCGCCATCCGAGAAAAGCGATGGACGGGGCAAGGAAAAGTAAGTGTGAAGCCTTGCGACGTCTACTACAGTTGCCATGTAAAGGAGCACAAATTTGGTGTTGGATTCATGGTAGGAGAGAGACTCCGTCGCCGAGTACTGGCCTTCACACCGGTGGACGAACGTCTAGCAGCAATCCGCATCAAAGGTAGATTCTTCAATATCTCGCTCATCTGCGCCCATGCCCCAACGGAAAAGAAGGACGAGGCGGCCAAGGATATCTTCTAGGAGATCTTGGAACGTACATATGAGCGCTGCGCCCAACACGATGTCAAAATCGTGCTCGGCGATTTTAATGCCAAGGTAAGCAAGGAAGGGATATTTGGCGCCACTGTCGGAAAATTCAGCCTCCACGACAAAACGTCCGATAACGGACTGAGGCTGATCGCCTTCGCCGGGGCCCGAAAAATGGTAATATGTAGTACTAGGTTCCAGCATAAGAGCATCCACCTAGCTACATGGCTGTCTCCAGATCGAAAAACAAGAAAACAAATCGATCATGTTGTGATAGACGGAAGCCATGCTTCCAGAATTTTAGACGTACGTACACTCCGAGGGCCCAACATCGACTCGGACCACTATCTTGNTACATGGCTGTCTCCAGATCGAAAAACGAGAAACCAAATCGATCATGTTGTGATAGACGGAAGGCATGCTTCAAGCGTTTTGGACGTACGTACACTCCGAGGGCCAAACATCGACTCGGACCACTATCTTGTTGTAGCCATGATACGCACCCGCCTCTATGTAGCACAAAATGCTGCATTCACATCAGACGGCCAATTTATTCGCCACTCGACTCACACACCTGCTCTCTGAGAGCACTCTTCAACAATCCGACGTACGCGAGCAGTGGAACCACATTTCCCGATCATTAAGTACCGCCGCCGAAGAAGTAGTTGGATTTCAGCGAGCCCGAAAGAACAACTGGTACGATGAGGAATGTCAAGAGGCCGCAGAAAAAAAAGACGCCATATATAAGGCCACGCTGCGATCGGGCGCAACGCGAGCCATTTGGGACCGTTATAAGAAACTGAAGAAGGAAACGAGACGTATATGCCGCATTAAGAAGAGAGAGGCCGAAATACGTGGTTGCGAAGAGCTTGAGTCGCTGGCCGACAGGAAGAACACCCGAAAATTCTACCAGAGGGTTAGGCGACTTACGGAAGGTTTCAAGACCGGAGCGAACTCCTGTAAGAACAACAATGGCGACCTAGTGACCGATGTCCAGAATGTACTTAAATTGTGGAGAGAACTATTTTACAACCTACTGAATGGTAGCAGCGCTGAAAGTAGTGTAGAAGACGAACCCGAGTTCCCAGTCAATGATGACCGAGTAGCTGTCCCATCGCCTGACTATGACGAGGTACGAATAGCGATTACGCGTCTGAAAAACAAAAAAGCTCCTGGAGCTGATGGCCTGCCAGACGAGCTATTCAAGTACGGCGGCGAGGAGCTGATGAGGTGCATGCATCAGCTCGTATGCAGAATATGGTCAGATGAACGCATGCCCGACGACTGGAATTTAAGTGTGCTCTGCCCAATCCACAAGAAAGGCGACCCCGCCATACGCGCCAACTACCGCGGAATTAGCCTTCTAAGCATAGGTTACAAGGTCTTATCGAGCGTATTGTGCGAAAGACTGAAGCCCACCGTCAATGAACTGATTGGACCTTATCAGTGTGGCCTTAGGCCTGGCCAATCCACCATAGATCAGGTATTCACAATACGTCAAATCTTGGAAAAGACCCGCGAGAATAGGTTTGACACACACGTGTGATTTCTTTAAACTGATGTTGGAGAAGATAATAGGAGCCGCAGAACTGAATCGCTCAGGCACAGTACTTTACAAGAGCGTACAATTCCTGGCGTATGCCGACGACATCGATATTATCGGTAAAAAGAAGGGCTACGTCTGTTCTGCCCTCTCGGGATTGGATAGAGAAGCAAAGCGAATGGGTCTGGTGGTGAACGAGGCCAAATGAAGTATCTCCTGTCATCACACAAACAGTAAGAGGGCACGGGTCTTGGCGCCCACGTCAGTGTCGACAGTTACAAGTTTGAAAAAGTAGACGACTTCGTTTATTTGGGAACCAGCATTAACACCAATAATAATGTGCCTTGAAATCCAACGGAGAATCGCTCTTGCCAACAGGTGCTACTTTGGGCTGAGTAGGCTGTTGAGAAGTAAATTCCTCTCTCATCGTATAAAGATCACACTCTATAAGTCACTCATCATGCCTGTGCTGGTGTATGGCGCGGAAGCATGGACAATGAAAGCATCTGATG